ACTACTACTACTACTACTAAAAACATATGTGTTTTAAAATATTTTAAATAGAATTTCTGTAACTAGCTATAAATACACGTACATTGGTTTAAAAATGAAAATATTAATATATTTTATTAAATAAATAAATACAGTTATTTATTAATTTATTTATTTAAGCTTGCACAATATTTTGGTGTTTAGTGCACTTCATCATTAAACATTATTGTACACAAAATTAATAGATTAATTTTAAGTGTTCTTTTTTGGACTGTAATATCTGCTTCTTGTAGGACCTGTCTGAGCCCCTGCTGGTGTTATATGGGATGCCTGAAGAGGAGAAAGCAGAGAGTGAAGAGCCCACGTTTGAGGTGACAGAAGCTGTCGCAGATGTAGAGCTGTTTGGGTTCGGCATCAACACCCGCTCCATCCACGTGCTGAGTGGAGCGTATGTTCTGATCTCTCTGTCTCTCTTTAAGTGACCATAAATCTCTTCCACATACAATATCTGATAGTTATTGTCATAATGCAGTCTGGTAGATCGAGCCAAGTTTTAATAAGTATGTATATTTCTTCCTTTCCTCAGGTGGGTAGCCTACTCTCATGTGGATTTCTCAGGTAACCAGTACGTCTTGGAGAAAGGCTTCTACAACAACTGTGAAGACTGGGGCTCTGGAGACAACCGCATCTGCTCCATACAGCCCATCCTCGCAGTAAGTCAGAGGCATTTCATTATTCATTAATCTAATCCAAACAGTTTGTGCAAGGACTATTGACTCAAATTGTGTGTGGTTGAAAATGTTTTGCATAAAGAGTAAATATTAGAGAATATTGAGAGGCACATTCACTAAACAGTTACTCAACATTTGCATCTGGTAAATCATCGTAAATTCTTGTATATTATTTGATAACCACTTGCAATCCACTTCAACCAGTTAAATGTGCTGAACCTAGTATTAATGTATTTCATCAACATTAATTATTTCATGAATTCCTCTATGAATCTCCATTTAATAGTCTGTCCTTGATTTCACTAATGAGGTTGTTCTTGTGTATTTCAGGCACCTAGTGAAGAACCCAGCTTCAGAAATGAGGTAAGCTGAGTCTCTTGTGCTCACTGAGGCTTGCATTTAATTGAGCAAAAATACAGTAAAAAAGGTAATATTGTGAAATATTATTACAACTACAATAATATATTTTAGAATGTAATTCCTTTGGTGGAAAAGCTGAATGTTTTGTTTTTCCCTTTGCTGCAGGTGCTGCTCTACTCGGAGCCGGATTTCCAAGGCACATGTAGGGTTTGTCATCAGAACCAGGGCTGTTTGCCTGAAAGGCTCACTGTTAAGTCCTGCAGGGTGGTGGGAGGAAGGTTAGTGAGAAAATTTAAGGTGGGATAAAGATTTAGAGAATGCAGTATAGAGTGGCCACAAATTCACTATACTGTATTTTTTTGAGTGGCTTCTTTGTGACACTCTGAATTTGTATGCTGAATTTGTTGAATTTGTACTCTGTTCATTTCAGTTGGGTGCTTTATGGAGGAGAGAAATTCACAGGAAACATGTATGTTCTGTCTGAAGGAGATTATCCCAACCTGACCAGCATGGGCATCCCAACTGACTCGGGCATTCACTCTGTCAAAGCAGTTCCAATGGTGAGAAGAAACTGCTTTCTTACTAAATATATTTCTGGAAAAGAGGTGGACCGATGATCCAATGAGAAACCGATAGACAAGTGATTTTAACACATATATCTTTATTTTTTTTTATTTTTTTTGCCTGTTTGTTCTCTCTTTCAGACCTTTTCGGTGCCGTCAATCTCGCTCTTTGGACTGGAGTGCTTTGAGGGTCGGGAGGTCGCCATTGATACACAGATTTCCAACATGTGGGAGGAAGGATTTAATACACATTTCCTCTCTGTCAGGGTCAATAGTGGTTGGTGAGTTTGCATATTATTGGTTCATATTAGCAGTGGCGGCTCATCGGGGGAGGCAGGGGAGGCACAGCTTCCCCATAATTTTGAGGTGAAAATGGGAGGAGGACGATTTAATGTTAATAAAATTCACAATTCATTTCAGTTCATGTCTCAGAATGTGTATTTTTTGTTTGTAATTTCACAGTTGTAATAAAATAACGTGAAAGCGCCGCTTTTCTATCGCGAATGTGCCGAATCTGCTGATGTAATTACTAAAACCCACGAGCCGCCACTGCATATTAGTACATTTGTGGTTTCATGACTATTTTGTATGAAATTTTCTCATATATCAAAACCATGTCAATCTCTTTGCAGCTGGGTGTTATGTGAACATAGTAACTACAGAGGGCGCCAGTTCCTATTGGAGCCCATTGAAATCACAAACTGGCATAAATTCAGTTCTCTTTCCTGTATCGGCTCCTTGTATCCAGTCAGACAAGTTAGTATCACCTTCACATGACCAATTATTTGCACAAGATAACTTGAAAACAGCATTTCTTGTATGATTTTAATTGTATGTTTATATCCCTATAGAAACAAAGACTGTTCCGCATCAAAAATAAAGAGACGGGCCACTACATATCAGTGCAGGGGGGTGTTGAGGACATGAAGACGGGCCGTGTGGTCGTCACAGAGCAGGTGGAGGGAATGAGTGATTTTTGGCTTTACCAGGATGGACTCATCAAAAACAAGGTACTTTGCACACCATGAAGTGGATGAGTAATTATTGTTTCTAACTTCTTAAAGTCACCCCCTCTCAGATTGTTGAACATGTGCTCTCTTTGTGTCAGCTGGCTCGAACCATGAGTCTGCAGGTGATGGGTAATGTGGAGTCAGGTGCTAAGGTGGTGCTGTGGACTGAAACGCGTGTTCCAGTGCAGACGTGGAGCGCTCAGGTCAGCGGCACAATCTCCAGCGTCACCTTCCCTGGAATGGTGCTGGATATCAAGGGTGAGATTTAGTTTGGTGCTTTATGTACCAAGCACAAGCTTAACTACTGCCTGTTGTGACCCTTAATTTATTTTATTATTTATAATATTGCTATTTATTTGCTATTTATTATAAAAATATTTTTTATTACCATTCCTATTAATACATTAAAAATAACATTTTTGTTAAGAATGCAAAAATTTTAGAGTAGCTGATATCAATACAGGAGTGTCCAGCAGTGTGTCGTGCCATACTTCATCTAAATCTATCAAACAATGTTTTTCTGATCTTTATATACTTTTATATTTTTATATTTACTATACATGCAGTTTTTTGATAATTATGTTAGCTATCATTAAAGAGCGTTTGAGAAATACTCAAAAGTTTGGGGTCAATAATTTTTTTTTGTGAAAGAAATGAATACTTTTATCCAGCTACATTAAATCAATCAAAATTGTCAGTAGAGATGTAAACTTTGTTACAAAAAATAATAATTTCAAATAATAATTTTTTTATTACTGTCTATTCATCACAATTTCCACAGAAATATTACGCAGCACAACTGTTTTCGACTTTGAAAATAAGAAACGTTTCTTAAGTAGAAAATCAACCTATCAAAATGTTTTCTGAAGGATCATGTGACAAAGACTTGAGTAATTCCTGTTGAAAATTAAGCTTTGACATCACAGGAATGAATGACCGTTTAAAATATATTAAAATAGAAAACTTATTTTAAATTGTAATCCTATTTTACAATATTACTGTTTTTACTTTAATTTAAATATAAAATATCTAAATTTCTTTATGAATATGTGGATATAGACCTAAAATCACGATTTTGGCAACAAATGTCCATGTCCATGTTATTTGACAACTACTAAAGAAACAAAAAACATTCTCCAGCAATCTAATTTCTCTTTTTTACAGGGGGTAAGCAATACGACAAACAACATTTAGTGATTCGAGAAGAGAACGAGGAACATGCCAGCCAACAGTGGGAGCTGGAATTTGTTTGATCCCGCCCTCTCTCTCCTTCATCTGACCCCCTTCTCCTTCTGACTCCACCCACTTGTCCTGCCCCAACAATACAAACACTGTCTGTGATCTGATATAGGACACCATGAGGGCACCTCTGAGTCATCCTTAAGTACAATCAGAAGATGTTGGGCAGGAAAAGTTTCTCGTGTCAGTAGACTGTATGATAGATAAAATGGATCAATGTATTGTCATTTAAAAATGAGAGAGAAGCAGAGGTCAAATATCATTCAACATGCTAGTGTTCTTGAAACGTAAATCTCTCGCCTGTGATGTGACTTATTTGCACATAGTTTGAATAAAACATATTACCTACAGGTCATTTACACGCTAATGATGGTGCTGGTGGTTAAGTCACTCAAAAACTTTTTTTTCTGTTTTCCTATGCATCACATGAGAATCTAATCATCGTATATGAATCTGGCAACTTTCGAAGCATTCTTTCATTTCTGCTCATTTTATTTGTTTACAAGCTAATGTTATGTTTTATAAACATTTGACATACTGGGTATATGCTGGTATGTAAGCTTTAATATCAATGCGGATTGGATCCTGGCAGATTTCGGTGTGCCCTGTTGTTTTTAAAAGTGTGCTGATGTCAGTCAATAAAAAGTCACCATGTTTTTGGACAACCAGGAAACTTTATTATGTATTAATGTTATTTTCAAAGCACAGTGTGAAATATGTAACAGGGAGTGGCTTTAATTTTGTAATAAAACTGTAAAAAATCATGTCGGAATTCACACATTTTTGACTTCAGTGTGGGCTATTGATGTTTTAGTATCTGTGTTAATTTTTTATAATAGTTCATCAAAAACAACTTGTATCGTCGTATTTGTGTTATTGTGTAGTAGTGCTTGTTTGTTCATTTTAATAAGTTTCGGACTGGAGCGGCGAGGTCAAAAGTTGCATGGTTGCTGCGTGTAAGATGTCTGATAACAGCTGCTGATGAATGCCAAGTATGTAGATGCTTGTACTGATGCCATTTTGTTTGTTCAGGTCTACAAATCAAACGCCACACCTGATGATGTTGCTCTTTCAGGTGGAGCGTGGAGGTAAATTCTCGTGATATTTTCAACATTTGACTTGAGTTTATGTACACAGTCACATGCAAGTTCAAGTGCAAGCTCCACTAACGCCTTTGTTGACATTAACAACACGTTCACACATTTCTCAAATTACAACCTGTTTTATGCAGCGTTTAGCGACTAACATCGAACTCTGTTTAAATGTACATCTACTTATTCGAGAGTTCTCTTTCGAAGAATCTTTGCAATTCAGAGATGGTTGTTTTGGGGTGGAATCTAGTCAATTGATTCTTCCAGTTATGCAGGTTTTTAAAGTTCTTGTGTGTAGTGTCAAGGTTACACCCATGGGATATCTGATCTGATCTGATCTAAGGTATTGAGAGCTTGTTTGGTTTTAGACATTTTGTGCTTTTTGCAGCAGAGGAGCCCGAGAAATACGGCGTATGGACGCTATTTATTTCTCAACAACGATTTAAAACCTTGAGGTTTCATCGTGCACTATTTGAGGAGGACCAGGAGTCACCAAAAAAAAAAAAACCTTAAAAAAAAAAGCTGAAACTCGATCTCACCTGAGACTGAAATCTCATAACAGACACTTCAATTCTGAGTCTTCAGCAGGTAAACCACTTTAACTAATCATCACCACTATCTGAGTAGTCTTTTTTCAAGTAGGTAAACATTTTTTAAACTAAAATTTCCTCTGAACATATTTGCTTTCCTCTTTTTGTCAGAAGGATCATAGCTTATTTCAATTAAATTTGCACTGATATTTTAAGTGAGAATGAAGTTCATTTCATTGTTTATTAATTTCTCTATTTTTGCTAAAAGAAATAAATAAATGTATTTATTTACAGTATTTTTGAAGAACATCATTTTTGTATTAGTTTTTTTCATATACACTGTAAAAATGATCAAACTTGTAGTTAAAACAAAGATTATTGGAGTACATTTTAAAATAAAATATTTTTTTCAGTCTTTAAAATGTCATGTATAATTCATTGTTACTTTGAAAGTAACTGCGGAAATTTACTACTGAAAATTGTTTCTACACCATTTTTTTTTTCAGTGCTGCTTGTGCATAACTTCCTTTTACACTGACAAGTGCTGTCATGGAGACAGAAGCTAAGTCACAGGAAACATCTCCACTTATGGTGAATTATGTTGAATGAATCTGTACATTTTTCTCTGCATCACTTTTTGTGTTGTACTTCGGTCCCATTGTTTGTCACTAAATCTCTTCTAAATCAGGACTCTTTTCTTCGACATTCTCCATCCTCCCCTACATTGCCTATTTTTTTTTTTTTTTTTTTCATCCCCCAGTCTGAAAAAATCACTTCAAATTAACATGTTGGACCACTTTCTACCAATTTTTCCCAAGATAATAAAAAAATAAAAAAATAAAAAAATAAATAAAGATTAAAATCCATGTGATTAGCTTTAATCTCTGAAGAGAAATGTTTCGCCCCCACATGAAATATCCATTCACATAAATTGAAATGACTAGATTTCACCCAAGAAAATGTGCAGAGCAATGGTAAATGTGACCGCATTTTTAGAATGTTCCTTCCTATGTCAGCAGTAGACAGCAAGGTAGCTTACTAAAATGTGGAACAGAGCTAAACATAGTTAAACAGGCTTTGTGTCTAAATCATTTATACAACTGCCTCTTTTACTTACTGTAGCTGTTTTCCTCACTTTGAAAATTGGTTCTGAATTGGTTTATTGCCCTCTTTAGCCTGCTCAACAATACATAAAAACAAGTAAAACACTGCAGTCTGTATAACCAGACCTACACTCCTGCCAACTCATGTTGTAAGTAGCAGGATAGACCTACAAGAGAAGCTCACAGTCTGAAGGCATGTGGTGGGGCACCCTGGGGTCTGTGCGGCCCTTCCCAAATTTTCGTCCCGAGAGAGATGTTACAGTCCTTCACACTGCACTGGAGAAGAAAGGTACAGCTATATAAATGCTCATGGGGCATGATTGTGGTAGTAAAAGTCAATCTGCTAGTATTCTTTCATACTTAATTGTTGTTATTTCAAACTACCATATCTTTCTGTTAAAGATGTGAGCACAATTGTGAGAATACTAACTAATCGTAGTAATGCTCAGAGACGATCTCTTGCCCTGGCGTACAAGAATTTCTCACAAAAGGTAAATCAGAAACAAATTCATCTCCAAATCATCACAAGCTAGTCTGTCTGTGTGTGGCGGTCAGGTTGTGTTTTTTAGAGGCCAACTATAAGAAGTGACCAAATGTCCCCCACAAGGATAGTAAAAATTTATATCACATATAGTTCCCATCAGGAAAATGGCCTAATAAACATACTAAACACCTTAAATAATGTCTTAATGGACATCTAAAAATAAAGAAAGGCTTGTGAGGATTTTTTTTTAGGTTTAGAGGATATAAAATATCATTAACTCAGTATAAAATCAATAAAAGTCAATGGATAATCCTTATCATGATACAAAAATGTGTGTGACAACAGTGGATTGTGTGTGTGTGCTACAGGAATTGGACGCAAGTCTCAAGAAGGTTCTTTCTGGTGATCTGCAGTCTCTGATACTTGGACTGATGATGATACCAGAGCAGTTTGAGGCCCATCGCTTACGCAAAGCCATGGAGGTTTGGCATTAATCACTAGGATAGTGCTAGTTCTATTGTGCTATGAGTGTGTGTGTGTGTGTGTGTGATTATCAGCATACATTTAATTATAGTTCAATATCCATTCAGACTGTATTAATTGTTTTGTGTGTTCAGGGTGCTGGTACAGATGAAGAAACTCTTTTAGAGATTCTGTGCACTAGGACGCCACAGCAGCTCTCTGACATCAGGGCTGCATACAGTCAAGGTGCTTTAGGAATTCTTTTCAAAATGGAAAAATGTTGAACATTTTAATTTAATTAATGCAATTAAATGCCTCTAAATTTTTTGGAACGTCTCACTTTTAACCCTGTGCATACTGAAACCTTTGCATATTGTCATAGGGTTAAAAAGCTGTATTGTCAAAAAAAGTTTTTGGAATGATGATCACTCAACATGAGCACTAAATATTTACAAAGAATTGTGCTCATATATGACACTAATTACTTATTGATTATTGGTGATTTTTCACTGTCAAGCAACACAACAATGCTTTGGACAACAAGGCATTGCCATTTTTGTGAAAACTTTTAGTTATAATTAAAACAAGGAATATCAGTGTATTTTTATTATTAGGATGAGATAAGATTTAATGTTTATTTTATATTTATATATAACAATACACTACCTTTTAAAAGTCTGTAAATTTTTTCAATTAAAATGTTTTTAAAGAGTCTTGCTCATCAAAATTGCATTTATTGATACAAAATACAGAGAATTCTTTAATGAATAAAAGGTTCAAAACATCAGCTTTTTTTTTTAAATATATTTTTTTGTAACAATGTAAAAGTCTTTCCTGTCACTTTTAATTTAATGCATCTTTTTTTGAATAAAATTAATTTGTTTAAAAAATAAATCTTACTGATGCCAAACTTTTAAACACTAGTGCATATATCATCACTATAATATTTAATTCAGTAAGAATTGAATATTAGTGATAACTGCATACATTTTCTATCAGTCTGTGTTTGAATGTTTCAACATTGTCACTTTAACAGACTATAAGCGGGATTTGGAGAAAGACTTGATAAGTGAAAGCAGTGGAGATTTTTCAAAGCTCATTGAGGCATTGTTGAAGGTAAGAAGTGTGATGCCTCCTGTCCTGAATCTCGCAGTTAAATATTTATCACCAAAACCAATTTTACTGTGTTGATACATCATCAGTATGTCAATATCTTGTGCATGCTATGCGAGTAATCATGCTCATTCTCTCTGTTTCTTTCTCTCTCTTTCTTATCAGAAAGAGAACGGGCCAGGAATTATTGACCAGGATATAGCAGTGAGTCCAGATTTGTAATTTTAGGATGAATTGTTCCTTTAAAAGATTTCAAGTGCTCTCAAGTCACCCTGCACTCCCAGGACTGCTTTCATGTCATATTAAGAGACTTAGTTAATGAAGGTTTAACTGTGAAACCTATGGTGCTAAGGGCACTGCAACTGCCCCTACTGAGACCTCTAGATGACCTCGGAAGCAGGATCCGGTTGTAGGAATTTCAGCTCAGTTAGATCACAGGGTGACAGATATACAAACCTTTCTTAGAATTGAACTCGGATAAGATGCATATTTCATATACCTGATTGAATTTTGTGATTGAAATCAGTATATTTTTATTTTGTTTTCCAGACTTTATCTGAGGAGCTGAAAAACAAGAAACCTGCAGCTGATATTTGGATCAAAATACTCACCACAAGAAACCCAGACCATCTCAGAATTGGTGAGTTGCAAGTGTTTGTATGTGTGTTTCAGATCTAGCTATAATTTCAGGGACAAAATTGTTGGGAAATGTCTTCAGAAGATGTGGAAACCCGTTCCTTATGGACTTTTAATCAACAAGAAAAGTGTTCATATAGACACTAACTAACATTTAGGGTATTTCAAAATTTGGTAGCTCATACTTCTGATGAAATTACTGTGCATGAGATGTGTCAGATAGTTTCATTATTACTGTTTTATATCTATTGGTGTTTGGAAAGGTTGTTGTTTCCTGTATCCTTGGTAGAGGTAATTACTTATGTAAAGTTATTGACACATTTCTAACATGCAAATCCTTGGAACATATCCATCTGTACTATTTAAGCCTTCTTGTATGGTATTTGTAAGGTTGACAACGACAAATATTTCAAATGTGTGTGAATAGTAATGTTATTTCTACTTCAGTGCTGGAAAAACTGGAGTTTGAGAAAGGCCAGACAGTGGAGGACGCTTTAGAGGGACATTTTAAAGGAGTCCTCTCTGGAGACCTGAAAAAGGGCTTAAAGACTCTAGGTAAAACTTGTTTATGTGTGTTTGAGGATGTATTAATGTGTGTGTGCTCAATGTGTAATGATCAATTAATATAAATCCACAAAGCATTTGCAATTTATCTCTTTTCTTTTTCTCATCAGTACGATGTATACAGAACCAGTATTTATTCTTGGCACAACGGATCCAAACTATGAAAGTACGTTTTTTTTTTTTTTAGTTTTACAGATATCTTAATAAATGTCATTTCAAAAAAGCCAAGTATTCATTTATGCTACTACTAAATTATCTACTTTAAAACTTCTGTGTGCATGATCAGGTTTAGCCAGCATTTTAGGCACCAAATGTCCCAACTAAGAGTAAAGTAAAACCTAAAATCATCTATATGTTGGGCCTAAAATACAAAAAGGTTTATTTGAGGGTTCGGTATAGGTTAGTGGATAGAAAATATCATTAGCTCAATTTAAAAACAACAGAAGTCTCAGTCATCATAGAAAATGTTGTGTAAGTGTGCACACAGTTACAGTACTAGTATAAACTTACTAGTACAAACATTGTTTTGCATGGCAGGTATGTATCGATGAAAATATATTTATTTAAGTTATTTCCTGAAATACAATATGCTAAATCCATGCAAAGCACTTGCAAATGCAAAACAGCAAGTTATTTTAAACAACTTTACACTGATAATGAGATCACTGCTTGTTGTATCATGCTCAGTTGTCTTTGTTTTTATTTTTGCTTTGAACCAGCTATAGATATGTGTTGACCGATACTCTGTCCTGTACTCTGTAGGCACCGGTGGTCCAGGGTGTGATGGTGGCTCATAGTGAGGAGGATCTACTGAGAGTTAGAGTGGCATACCTTCAGTCAACAGGAACTTCACTGTACACAGCCTTACAGGTCTCCACACACACACACACACACACACACACACACACACACATATAGAGATCTTTATAACCAGTCTTCAACATCATTTCACCAACATGAATTTTTTGTTTTCTTGTTTTTTCTCAATAGAAGCAGTTTAAAGGTGAACTCCAGCAGGGTTTGCTGGCTATATGCCGTGCAGAAGATTAGAAGAAATGCTGTGTATGACACAAATGATAAACATTTATGTGCACACAGTGAAAGCATTCCATTCATTTTAATTGCTATTAAACAAAAGCTTTGTGTCTGAAAATAAATAAATTCAGCACTGTCCTTTATGAATCCCTATGGAAGGCAATATAGTTTTAATAATACAATTTTCAACTTTTAAAATACAATTTTCAACTTTTTATGTCATTTATGACTTTTTTTTCATGACTTTTTCATTTCAGAATTTTGACTTCTATGTCATAATTATGATTTACCAAAGCATGACTTTTTTTCTTATGTGGCGGAAATGGGCTTCCATAGGAATCGCCTGAAATCTCTGGTTTATTGACTTATGTTATTGACCATAAGAGTTTTTAAAGGATAAAAAGTTAAAACACTTTTATCATCAGTATATGTACTTTCTCTTCAGTATCAGACTACCACATGTGTGTGTGTATATATATATATATATATATAGTACTGTCAAGCGATTAATCGCATCCAAAATAAAAGTTTTTGTTTACATAATATACAGTGCAAAGCATAAATGAGTACACCCCCTCTAAAACTTAACAAATTCAGAAATTACTCTTTACTTACAAGACATGTTAGGGTTCTTTGGAGATGTAATGTTCCAACAAGCCTGCTTGATCAATTACCAAAGAAGAATACCAAAATTATTCAGCAAAATAAGATTCTTATCAAA